ATTATATATAAAGATTCATATAGTATTCATTGTATTCCATCATTGAGAAGATCCAACCTCGGGAAGCACAGAAGATGAAAACCCACACAGTTTCCGAGTGAAGAGCAGGCGCTCCAAGTAGGGCGGATTCTTCGATCCATGAACTGCTGCATGCTCCTCGAAGCGTGCGAAGCCGCTCGAAAAGACCCGCTAGGTACGAACCAAGATCACGATGACGCATATGTAAATCGCTTAGTTTTCAACGAGTGCTCATGCCGGGTGTAAAGCAACTATTAACTCGACAACTCCTTTCCCCCATTCATCGATCTGATCGAGCAACCCCCTGTTTGTCGACGATCGTGTTTCATCGATAACTCGAAGCACAAGGTGGCCAGCCAGAAACCCTAGGAATCGTTGAAACATCGGTATCATGCAACGCGTTTGATCGAAACCAAACCGGGACTGTTAGACGGGGGATGAGTGTCTCGAGAGTCGCTATGAGTTCCCTAGCACGCTGCAGATCGGTTGGCTCGCAGAAAGGTGCCCATCGGATGATATCGCGGCAGCAACGGAGTACAAGCCTCACTGGCCGGTCACCTTGATAGTGCTCAAACCGCTTTGGAGAATTGTAGATGATGGCTATGGCCTCCAGCACATCTATGATAGCACGTGGGGTGCTATTATTCAAGGATCGACCAATGTGTTGCAAACAATTTCCAGTGAGTATCGACGCTTCCGTCGAAGCACTCAGCTGCAGGGAGTACCTGATGGGGTAACAGATGCATACGAGCCTGGTGGACTGGAAAACATCAGATTGGAGTCGGAGCGATGCCGAACAGAACGAAAGACTCACAAAAAGACTGCAGCGAGGTCGGTGACTGGCCACTTGCGTAGCTTCGACCCGCTGAATGTAGCACGCATGCTCCTTAAAAGATCCTCATTCACCACTCCAGACTTGGCCATGACAAAAAGCAGATCCGCGACAAAGCGGTTATCAATGATGTCCGATGAGCCAAACGCATAGACATCAGTGAAGTGCTCTATCGCGGATGATACTGCGGCTTGGGTTAGGCTTCTACTCAGAACGAGACCTTTCAGGATGCGCATTCGCACAACTGGAGTGAGATCGGGAGGAACGGGAGTAACTTGAATCTGTCGCATCACTGCTGATGCTAGCCGATCAACACTACGGAAGCTGTATCCAGCTCCTGATGACAACAAGCCCAGGCCAAGGACAAACTGAGAAAGCGCTTCGTATGGAACCTATATCAACAAGTGAATCCAGACATGAGAACACAGTCTCCACCTCTAATATGTGGCACAAACACATATCGGCTACAGTGTCGAGACAAGTAGCCTCTACCACACCGGCCACACCACATGCCTTCACTATATAAGGTGCTGTCTGGAAGTAGTTCATTGCCATCAGCTTCAGACGATTGCCCTTAACCTTCTGCAGCTGCTTGCCCAAACACAATAATATCTCCTCAATTAACCAGTGATATCTGTGGTAGGTGTCACGGCATTCAGCACGTCATTGTTACTCACTTTTTAGGGAGGAGGGCAAGTGAATTGAGGAGGAGCACGACTTCTGAGAACGGCAAAATTTCGTGTCTGCGTCGTAGCCGATTCAATATCTCCGGCACGAGCCTTTCACGAGACGAATATATCCTCTTTTGAGTTTCATCTCCATCACGCAACTGTACAGGGTTGATAACGCCCGACAAGACGTACCTGTGGGATACAATTGTCCCACAGACCCCAACTTAGATCCGTACATAAGGCCCACGTGATCGTGAACCCTCTCAAAAGAGTCCTCAATAGATTCCAGCATCGGCAAGGCGAGTTCCCCAGGTACCGGCTGGTATCCCTGACGGAGCCTTATGAGTCGTCGTAGACTTTCCACAATATCGTCTGGCTCTGTAAATTGTTGCCAACATGCAGTAACCTGACATGCTCGGATGCTTCTTCAACTTGTAGGCGACATCAGTCACCCACTTCCTGCACTTTACTGTCCCGATCCTTGCTCGTAGTTGTTTGGTCCGATGAGACTCCAACCCATTTGAGGCTTCCCTTTCGCATAGGCGCAGCCGTTCGCAACTTCTCTAAGAGTTTCCTAGTTGTCGCACTTGCGATCGCATCCGCACATAAAACTCTCCCATTTATGAAATGCATCCACGAAATGCTATCAGAAAAGGACTCCCCATTGAGTGATGACACTAACCCCAAGATCCAGATAGCCTGAGGGAAGCACTTCCGACATGTTACACACTGATGTCAATAACGAACGATGATGCACTACTCAACGGAGCGGAACGACACCACTTGGAGGCTTTCGGGACTGTGTGTGCTCGATTGGGCCCGCCAGGATCTAATATCAGCTTCAGAACTGGTAACCGGTTTAACTGAGAGAATCATCCACTACGCTAAATGGTAACGGCCAAGGGACCGAAACATCTTCAACAAATCCTACACCGAGCTGGCCACGAGTGCTACGCCCGAAAACTATGAATCCACGACTTTCTAAAGCTGCCAATGTATGGTAGCCACCTCCTGCTATACACTTGACCCCAACAGCGACTGGACCAGTGGGAAGAGGGTGGGAACGACGTAGCCCATCACCGAGCTGACCTCGACGACCCATACCGAAGCCGTAGAGGGCAGACTTATCTCGGGTGATGACTAGGGAATGGGCACCACCACAACAAACAGCCGCGACGGGTGGCAGCTGGCCTGATACCTTAACGGGAATCGAAGTATCTCCCATATCGTCACCACGTCCAAGCTTGCCAGTGGAGCCGCTACCAAAGGCATATACCTCTCCCATCGGGCCGCACAGTACGAGGGAGTGGTGCCCTCCACATGAGACCATCGTGCATCGACTAATGGTCGGGATTAGTGTGGGCACCCAACAGTGTGAACGCTCGTCATTGCCAAGTTGTCCATGAGTGCCCATCCCACAGGAGTACACACGACCCGAGTCAGCTAGAAGGAGGGAGTGGGCGAAACCGCATGAAATGCTAACAAACCGGACACCTGGTCCAGGAGGGTTCACTAGTGTTGGCGAGGAGATGGCTGAGACTGGAGTAGTGCCCAAGTGGGATATACCAATGCCAAGCTGGCCAAACGCATTCCACCCGAAGGCCACGACACGGCCGTTAGCCAGCAGGACCATGCTGTGATCTCCACCACACCTCACATCAATAGGGATGGAGCCACAGGAGTCCACATCGATCCTTCGTGGGGAAGAGAAGTCTCGGAGGTCATCACAGGCCAACTGGCCAAAGGTGTTCCTCCCTGTACCAAAGACAAGACCAGTTACACCTAGGAATAACGTGTGTCGATCTCCGCATGCTACTGCCACAAGTCTAATACGACTTAGACTGCTCACCAATAAGGGTTGAGGCTCATCACGGAGAACACCGTGACCAAGCTGGCCCGAAGTGCCGCTACCAAATGTGTAGACTCTGCCGTCGAGCATGTATGCACTGTGTATGCTGCCGGCTGCTACTGATGATCGATTTTGGAGCCGCTCTAGCATGAGTCGTAGTCGTAGTATAGCATTAGCATCATGATCACTTCGATGTAGCTCTGCCCGAGCGATGTTGATAATGTCTAGTCGGCTGAAGGCAGGCTCGACCAGCATGT